TGTGTGTGTGTGTGTGTGTGTTTCTGTAGGTGTACTTGAAAGTTAGAAGACAATTTGTGAGAATCATTTCCTCTCCTTTCACCATATGGGTCCTGGAGATCAAACTCAGATTCAGGCTCGGTTGATAGTAGGTTCCTCTCACTGCCTGAGCCACCTCACAAACCCATCCTGGGTTGTTTTTTCTTTTTCATCAAAAAAGCCATAATTATTTTCTCATGCTATCTGTATTCAAGACAAGAGGGTGTTATTTGAAGATTTCCACATTCATACCCATCTGTCTCCCTCCCTATCCATAAACCAAGGACCAGGCTCAGTCCAGAAACAAGCCTTAGAGTAGCAAGCTTCCTGGCTGCCTGTCTGTATGTAATAATACAAATGACTCAACACCAGGGAGGCCAACTGCCAACATTGACACAGGACCTTCTGCCAGGAAACTCATGTCTTAGATGTCTATCATATAACCTAACATTCAATTCTTTAAGCTAGATAGCCCTCCTGCATCCTGATCCCATTTGGGAGGCAAAGGCAAACAGATCTCTGAGTTCAAGGCCAGAATGGCCCAGGCTACACAGAAAAAAAAACCCAGTCTCACAAAAACAAAACAAATGAAAAGAAAAAGAAAAAGAATCCATCTGAGATAAATCAGCTTAGGAAAGGGTTATTTTAGCACTTGGTTTCAGAGGTTTTAGTTCATGGTTCGTTACCAATTGATTCCATTGTTTTGGGTCTTGGTGAGGCAGGAAACCATGGCAGGGAAGTAGCCAGGAAACAAAATGTAAAGAAGCAGGAAGGAAACCAGGCTAAGGACTAACTGTCTGCTTCAAAGGCATGCCTCCTTCAGTGGTCTAAAAGGCCCTCAGCAGCCTTTAAGAGACACATCCACACTACAGCATCTCTTGACGCAACTCTATGCCTTTGTACCTTTTCATGTGCTTTTCTCTTCTTTTTTTTAAATAGCTTATTTACTTTTTAGTTTATGTGCATTAGTATGCATGTATGTCTATGTGAGGGTGTCAGACTTTGGAGTTACAGACAGTTGTGAACTGCCATGTGGGTACTGGGAATTGAACTCAGGTCCTATAGAACAGCCAGTTCTCTTAACCACTGAGCCATCTCTATAGTCCCAAAAGTGGGAATGACCATGTTGCTTTTTGTGGTTTTTGTTTGTTTGGGGGTTTTTGTGTTTTGTTTTTGAAACAGGGTTTCTCTGTATAGCTTTGGATCCTGTCCTGGAACTCACTCTATAGACCAGGCTGGCCTTGAACTCAGAGATCTATTTGCCTCTGCTTCCTGAGTGCTGGAATTAAAGATGTGTACCACCACTGCCCTACTTTCCTCTTACTATCTAAAATATTTTCCTCCTCCTTGTCCACTGGGAAACTGGCCATCCTTCAAAGTCTTGACTCAGGGACCTGGAGACATGACTGAGCAGTTATGAGCACTCGCTGCTTTTGCAAAGTTTCCAGCACCCACATCGATTGACTCAAAAAAACCTATAATTCAAGCTCCAGAGAAATCCAACAGCTTACAAGAGAACATTCACACATGTGCACATACTCCCCCCACACACATATAATTAACTTTTAAAACATACTAAACTAGTGTTTAAAAAATAAATAAAATCCTGCCGGGAGTTGGTGGCGCACGCCTTTAATCCCAGCACTTGGGAGGCAGAGGCAGGCGGATCTCTGTGAGTTCGAGGCCAGCCTGGTCTACAAGAGCTAGTTCCAGGACAGCCTCCAAAGCCACAGAGAAACCTTGTCTCGAAAAACCAAAAAATAAAATAAAATAAAATAAAATCCTATCCAGAAGACTGTCCTGCTGCCGGGTGGTGGTGACCCATGCCTTTAATCTCAGCACTCGGGAGGCAGAAGAAGACGGATCTCTGTGAGTTCAAGGCCAGCCTGGTCTACAGAGGGAGTTCCAGGAGAGCCTCCAAAACAATATAGAGAAGCCCTGTCTCAATAAAAAAAAAAAAGATTGTCCTGCAAAGATGGTAGCACTTAACCTCTCCCATATTCATTATGAAGTGGAAAAATTCCCTTTGCAATAGAAAGACTTAAAGAGCCCCAACAGTTAGCCCCCCAATAGTTGGAAAATTGCTAAGCTGTCCTGTCCTTGGACGTGAGCAGCTACACTTAAACATCTTCCCCTGGTGGTCCTCAAGGACTTGAAAATATTTCCCAGACCTCAGTCCTCAAGGACTTGGGAACACTCCCCAGACCTCAAGGTTCCAGGCTGGTCACAAAGTTCAGCCAGGGCCCAGACGTTGCCTAAGACAGATAACGAGCCTGTCAGCCACAAGCGTGCGTGTTTGCATGAAGGCCTCCCACCGATTACCAAACACTCCTTGTACCCCCACCACCCTGTTTGTGGTTTTAGGCTTTAAGAACTTGCTGTAATTTCTGCTTGGGGTTCACTCCTTCCCAAGGCTGCTGAACCCCGTCGCTCCAGCTTAATAAAAATCCTCTTGTGTTTTGCAGCGAAGTTCAGCTCCCTGGTGGTCTTTGGGGCGAGGGTCTTGAGAGAAAGACGGCAGGGTCCCTCAGACTTAACTAATGTCACCTAACTGAATTAGCCTATCTTCTACTGCTGGTAACAGATTACCACAGCATGAGTTGCAAGTTATACAGAAAAGGAGTTGATTTGAGCTCATGGCTCTAGAGGTCCAAGTTCATGGACCCACATCTGGTGATGACCTTCTTGCTGGCAGGTTGCCTTTCTCTTATAAGAGTTGCCTTCCTGGGTCATGGTCTCTTCACAGCAATATAGCAATGACTAAGACAGAATAGTGGCTGAAAGAATATAACCATTTCTTTAATACTGGTCACAAGTTCCTTTGAAAACAAGTCTGAATTTATGTTAGTAAATTATGCTACATTTACAAGTTCAAGTAGTGCATAATTTTGAGATCACTGGAGTCTAATGCTCTATCAGGTCTTCCTATTACTATATAGAATACACTGTATCTCCACATAAGCCTTTTTATTTTATTATTGTTTTGTTTACTTATTATTTTTGATACTAGGGATAGAACCCAGAGCCTGCTGCTTTTTAAGTACATAGCTATAAGTATATTTACATCCTGTCCTAGACTAATCCTTTTTAAATAACTTTAAGTGAAATTGAGATATCCCAAAAAGTAGTTCTCATATTTATTTCATATTTGCATTATATTTTATTTTCTTTATTTTGTGGGAACTAATAATTTAAATAATATGAAAATTTTGATTACCCCATCTGAGAAAAAGAAAATTGTATTGCATCCTGTGTTTATCATTTCCTTCATCATTATGAGGAGGATATCAGCTGTTTCAAATGATGGGCCAGTGAGATGACTCAGTGGGTAAAGACTCTTGGAGTACAAGATTGATGGTCTAAGTTTGATTCCCCTGCTCTCAAACGTGTCCCCTGATCTCCACATGCACACTATGGCATGTGTGCCCTTACACACACACACACACACACACACACACACACACACACTCTCTCTCTCTCTCTAATATTTTTAAATGATGATGAAATGAAAATGAATACTGGACTATATACGAAACAATGCATTATTTTTAAGATATTCTTTACAATTTCAATCAGACTATAAGATAATTATAACTGAAAGCTAATGCAAGTCTAGGGTAGCATTTTAAAATTTTTGACCTAACTGTAAGGTGGCATTAACTTTTTCCAAAGTGTTTTAACATTATTGACAGGACATCTTGGTGAGAATCAAAATGATTTGTAGTTTACAAAGCATATGGGTGTTCTTTTAAAGAAAGCAGATGAAATTGAGCTTCTGTTTTTGAGACTAAGAGTGCAGAGATGAATCAACTGAGATGTGTGTATAAATAAACAGTGACACAGCTGAATTAGTCACAATTGACCACTAGAAATCTATTAGCCACGCTTCCTTACAACCAGCTCTAATGTATTTGTAAGCAAGAACAAACTTCTGTGGTTACAACTGACAAAGAAGTGCATGGCAGCTCCACCAAGCACAGCCAAGCCCTATTCTTACTGCATTTTTAGAGCAATTGCCACATCACGTGAGCCAAAGGCTGCTGCGACTTCAAATATGAGACTACTGCTTTGCATGGAAAGCATAATCTCTGTTCTTGATCATTAATGAAATACAAACATTCATAGGTGTTATGCTCAGTGTGGTAGAATAACTAAAGCATAAATCAGATATGTCGTAACAGAACATTTTTAAAGGCAAAAAAAAAAAGACCAAAGTAATCGTTTTTTGTTTTACAAATGACTAAGGCTGGGCATTAGCTCAGTTGATAGAGTGCTTGTTTTGCATTACTGACTCCCTAGATTCAATCCCCAGAACTGTATAAATGTGTTCAAGCCTGTAATCTCAGTCCTCAGAAGGTAAAGGTAGAAGGAACAGAAGTTCAAGAACATCTGACTACATAATGAGTTCAGGATCCGCTTGGAATACCTGAGACCCTGTCTCAAAAATACACTATACACTATGAAGAAGAATCAGGGACTGGACATGGTCGTGCAAACAGGCCTGCACTCCCAATCCCTGGGGTAGCTGAGGCCAGCCTGGGCCACAATTTTGAGAGCTTGTCTCAAACACAAACAAACAATTGCAAAAAGAAAGAGGGAGGTAGGAGGGAGGGGAGTTGGGGGAGGCAGGAGAGGGAGAAGGAAGGAAGGAAGGAAGGAAGGAAGGAAGGGAGGGAGGGAGGGAGGGAGGGAGGGAGGGAGGGAGGGAGGGAGGAAGGAAGGAAGGAAGGAAGGAAGGAAGGAAGGAAGGAAGGAAGGAAGGAAGGAAGGAAGGAGAAAAGGAAAAAGAAAGGGGAAAGAGAAAACGCGAAGGGAGAAACGGGAAGATAGGTGAAGGTGTGGCCACCTAGCTAGGGGGCAGCTAAAGTTACCTTTGCCCTAGAAACCTGAGCCTTGTGCCTTTGGGGATTGTGACGCCTGGGCCTTGGAGGAGAGACACAGATTGGTCATCATTGTGACGCATGGGTAGTGAAGGGAGAGACAGGTTAAAGACTGGTGCTTGGACCACTCTCCCCCATACCTCTGCCTGAGATTTCAGCAGAGCAGCCGCTTACCTATAGTTGCAGAGGCTGGTGCCCTAGAACCTAGTGCCGAGAGACAGCTGACCTGACGCCTTGATGACAACAGCATCTTGTATCCTTCCGTCTCAAGCTATCCAGCAGGATAGTATTTATGGAATCTCTCAAATAACTAACAGCCTTTTTATCAGTAATGCTTTGATCGCTAACGACAAACTCACCCTGTCCAACAACCACATCACCACGATTATCAATGCCTCGGAGGAAGTAGTGAACACGTTCTTTGAAGACATTCAGTACGTGCAAGTGCCGATAAGCGACGCTCCCAATTCCTACCTCTATGACTTTTTTGACCCCATAGCGGATCACATCCACGGCGTAGAAATGAGGAATGGTCGCACACTGGTGCACTGCGCCGCAGGAGTGAGCCGCTCGGCAGCCCTCTGCCTTGCCTATCTCATGAAATACCACACCATGACCCTGCTGGATGCGCATACTTGGACCAAGTCCTGCCGTCCCATCATCCGTCCCAACAACGGCTTTTGGGAGCAACTTATTCATTACGAATTCAAGCTATTTAGTAAGAATACTGTCCATATGATCAACTCTCCTGTGGGTCTGATCCCTAACATCTATGAAAGGGAGGCCCAAGTAATGGAGGCAATGTGAGCCACCCATCCCTCCCCTGACATCTGCATTGGCTTCTACATCAAGATAAAAGAATGACCTTGGACCTTTAGTTGTTTACAAAAACCAAAAAAGATGGAGAAGAGGGCTTGTAGATGGGGGGGAAAGGGGAAGAGAAGGGATTGGAATTTTTAAATGTCATATCTTCAAATAAAGTTAAATGTAAGATGATGAAATGTTTCTAAGTCTTATTTGCACAGAATAAAATTCAGTAAATGTAAAACGGTGAAATGTGGAGGTAATGGAATGTAGGGGAGGAGAGAGTTGGATTATGAGATATGAGTGTCTGGAGGTAATGGAATGTGGGGGAGGAGAGAGTTGGATTATGGGATGTGAGTGTGTGGAGGTAATGGAATGTAGGGGAGGAGAGAGTTGGATTATGGGATATGAGTGTGTGGAGGTAATGGAATGTGGGGGAGGAGAGAGTTGGATTATGGGATGTGAGTGTGTGGAGGTAATGGAATGTGGGGGAGGAGAGAGTTGGATTATGGGATGTGAGTGTGTGGAGGTAATGGAATGTAGGGGAGGAGAGAGTTGGATTATGAGATATGAGTGTGTGGAGGTAATGGAATGTGGGGAGGAGAGAGTTGGATTATGGGATATGAGTGTCTGGAGGTAATGGAATGTGGGGGAGGAGAGAGTTGGATTATGGGATGTGAGTGTGTGGAGGTAATGGAATGTGGGGGAGGAGAGAGTTGGGTTATGGGATGTGAGTGTGTGGAGGTAATGGAATGTAGGGGAGGAGAGAGTTGGATTATGGGATATGAGTGTGTGGAGGTAATGGAATGTGGGGGAGGAGAGAGTTGGATTATGAGATATGAGTGTGTGGAGGTAATGGAATGTGGGGGAGGAGAGAGTTGGATTATGGGATATGAGTGTTTGGAGGTAATGGAATGTGGGGGAGGAGAGAGTTGGATTATGGGATATGAGTGTGTGGAGGTAATGGAATGTGGGGGAGGAGAGAGTTGGGTTATGGGATATGAGTGTGTGGAGGTAATGGAATGTAGGGGAGGAGAGAGTTGGATTATGGGATATGAGTGTGTGGAGGTAATGGAATGTGGGGGAGGAGAGAGTTGGATTATGGGATATGAGTGTGTGGAGGTAATGGAATGTAGGGGATGAGAGAGTTGGATTATGAGGTAGGACTGTATGGAGGTAGAGGTGGGGGAGGAAAAAGTTGGATTATGGAATATGAGTGTGTGGAGGTAGAGGTTGGGGAAGAGAAAGTTGGATTATGAGGTAGGACAGTGTGGAGGTAGAGGTGTGGGAATGGAGTGGGGTGAGATGGGGGTTGGAGAGTAGGGACACAGGAGATGATAGTGGACTGGATTTGTGAGGCAGGGATGTGGAAGAGTAGGGCCTGCAGGGCAGGTGGCTGGTCATCATAAACAGACCTGCCAATGTCACCATGGACATACAGAAGACTTGGGACCCTACGGTTGCCTGGCTTGACTACCCTGTAAATAAATTCTCTTCCCACTCTAGCTCAAGCTCAGAGTCTTTGACATCACTACGTCTCAGGTATGTAAGAACCTACTGAAAAATGGCTTCCAAGCCTTCACATCAGGTTCTGGGAAGCCTCAGAGTCTAAGTTCATCCCTGTCTGCTCTAACTCTGGTAATCCAACTCTCATTTTGTAGCTTGAATGTATGCATTTGTTGAAGAAATCATTCTACTTTTAACAGTTTTGGGTTTGTTGTTTGGATTGGTTTGTTTTGGTTTTGAGTAATGTATTAAACATCAAAGCCTCAAGAGGTCCTTGGATACCCCCTTAGCAGCCTCCCAAAGGGACAGTAGTTTCTTTCCAGATTATGTGCCGAGAATGAGCTGACCTGACACTGGTCCTCAGGTGCCTTTCATGGGCCATGACTTGTGTCTTATTTAGAGTTTCTATTGCTGCAACAAAACACATGACCAAAAAAAAAAGTTGTGGAGGAAAGGATTTATTGGGCTTACACTTCCACATTGTAGTCCATCACTGAAGGAAGCCAGGGCAGGAGCTCAAACAGGACAGGAATAATGCAGAGGCCATGGAATAATGCTGTTTGCTGACTTGCTCTCCATGACTTGAACAATCTGCTTTCTTTTTTGTTTGGTTTGGTTTGGCTTTTTTGTTTTTGTTTTTTTGAGACAGGGTTTCTTTGTATTGTTTTGGAGGTTGTCCTGGAACTCGCTCTGTAGACTAGGCTGGCCATGAACTCAAAAAGAGATCTGCCTGCCTCTGCCTCCCGAGTGCTGGGATTAAAGGCGTGCACCACTAACACCCGTCTCAATCTGCTTTCTTATAGAACCCAAGACCAACAGCCCAGGGGTGGCACCACCAACAATGGACTGTACCCTCCCCTATAAATCAGTAATTAAGAAAATTCTCTGCAGGCTAGCCGGCAGCCCAATCTTATGGAGACATTTTCTCAGTTGAGGTTCCCTCCTCTCGGATGACTATAGTTTGTGTCAGTTGACATAAATCTAGCCAGCACAACTTGGAAGGCTGGAATTGCTGGCCATGTGTCAGTCCTGTCAACAACTGCCATTTGGGGGTCTCCTCTCAGCCTCATTTTTCCATCAAAACAACCACAGACCTTCATCATAGAGTCCTTCTGAAGACAGAGCCCTTTAGTCCAACCTGGCACCGGCAAGGTTTCAGCTGAGAATAGAGAGCAATAAGCATGCACCTCACATCCTTTCTCAGACTCTGCAGCTCTTTGTTTGCAAGATACTCTTCCAAAAAAAATCAGCCATGGCCAGGTGTGGTGGCCAATGCCTGGCAGATCTCAGTGAGTTCAAGGCCAGCCTGGTCTACAAAGTGAGTTCCAGGACAGCCAGTACAGCTACACAGAGAAACCCTGTCTTGAAAAACCAAAACAAAATCATCCACTGTGTAGAAACTGGTTTAAGGTCTTGTCAGACCCAACCAGAAAAGAGACCAAGATATAGAACCTTTCTAGAGGTTTCACTGTGTTGAGTGCACCTCCCCCACCCCCACCCCCAGCCAAGCCTACTGGATCTGGGTGGTGCAGTTTTGCTAGTTACTGGATCTGGGTGGTGCACTTATCAAAAGGATGCATGAATGAGACTCAAAAGTAAGCCCTAGAATCCAAAGTTGTTACAACGTTCTAGATACCTGGGGCTCTGACTCAGGTCCAGCTGTTGTACTTCAGAGGATTTTAGATAGACACAGAAAGACAGACAGATTAGGACTGTTCAGGATAAATCCAACCTACGTGTACAGAGACCAATGAAATCCAAAAGTCCCTTCTGTTCAGGCCGGCCCTCACTCTGATCCCTGCTACCACAAAGAAAATACATTGTGGGAGGGTTCATCAAATGAATCACTACTTTAGACAGATTTTTTTTTATGAGTGGAAAACAAAAACAGGTCCACAGAACATAAAGGCTGATGTGGCAAAATCTCCATCAAATAACCTTTCTGGCAGAAACCAAGGTGGAAAATTTCTTTATATGTATTGGTCAAAAGAAAATGATGTGAGTGTGTGTTGTTCTTTTGTTTCAGTTACGAGTAGAGCAGGAAACCATGCTTCAGTAACGAGTAGATGAAAACATGAACCACGAGACTCAACAAACCTATGGGGAGTTTATTGAAGGAAAGGGGAAGAAGAAAAGGGGGAAGGGGCAGAGAGAGAGAGAGAGAGAGAGAAGTGGAGAAGGGGGAGAGAGGGGTGGAAAAGGGAGAGACAGAAGAGAGGGGGTGAAGGGAGAGAGCGAACATGTGGAGATGCTCGCTTAAAAAGGGAAGTTTGTACATGCGTACAGAGTCCTTATGCAGCCCGTAACGCATGACATAGCCATGCAACGCAGGACCCTTTGAGCTGCCTAAGTATCTGCCTGAATGCTGATATGCATGTCCCGCCTGTTGTCAGGGGTCAGGGTCAGCAAAAGTGTGTGTGTGCTTGTTTTTGAATCTTTAATATTCCATGAAATGAACTCTTTGGGAACATATTATGCTAGGATTTGTAACACATGCGTAGATCTAGATAAAACCAAACTAACGTAACCAAGCTACCAAGCAATTCCACGCCTCAAAAATTTCCATCATTCTTCTCCATAGTAAATAAAACCTAACCTCTGCCAAATGCTGATCTGTTTTCCTTCCCTGTAGATTTGCTTTGAACTGAACGTCACATAAATGAAGCCACACAGATGTAATCTCTCAAGAGTGACTTCCTTCATTCAGCACAATGTCTCTAAGATTCCCTCATATTGAGTTTCACAGTGTGGGTGTAGCACAGTTCATTCTATGTCAAAATATGAGGATATCAGGACTCTTATGTTGGAATATTCTATATAAAGATATGAGACTTTATACTATAATCCTAGGAAATGCTGTAACAAAATACCAAATAAACTGTGCCTTGAACAACAGTAATTTATTTTCCCACAGTTCTCATGGCAAAAAGTCCAAAGTCAGGATGTTGACAGAGCCACACTTCCTGAGGACCTGCATAGGAGAGTCTTTCCTTGTCTGTTCCTTGCTACTGATCCTGGCACACATTCCTTTGTTTAATTCGTCATTCCAATTTCTGCTTTGTCACCCGGCTATCTTTCTTATGTGTCTACATCCATCTTCCTTCTGTGCGTATCTTTATTCAAGTTTCTTCTATTCTTAAAATGCCAGTCAGAGCCAGACAATTGTGGCACATGTCTTTAATCCCAGAACTTGGGAGGCAGAGACAGGCATATCTCTGTGAGTTCAAGACCAGCCTGGTCTACAAGAGCTAGTTTCAGGGCAGCCTCCAAAGTCACAGAGAAACCCTGTCTGGAAAAAGCAAAAAAAAAAAAAAAAAAAAAAAAGAATATGCAAGTATTCCATGTCCAGTCAGAGCATTGGACATTTTAGGAACAGGAACTCTAATCTTTACAGAACCCTTCAAGATAGCGAGTATCCACACTGTTTTTAATGTGGTTAAGCACACTGGCCAGAAATGAAGAAGTGAAATTGACTAGTTCAAATATGTTTCATATATTTCTAACTATAACTTGTTTATGATGCTTGTTTGTGATTCTAAAGTTTCAATTTTTTCTTCCCTTTTTTATTTACGTTAGAAACAAGCTTGCTTCACATGTCAATCCTAGCTCCCTCTCCCTCCCCTCCTCCCCTGCCACCCATCAGGCCCCCAGTTCCCTGAAGTTTCAATTTTTATGTACCTAAATCT